ATAGATAGATAGATAGATAGATAGATAGATAGATGATAGATAGATAGATAGATAGATAGATAGATAGATAGATAGATAGATAGATAGATAGAAACATGCTTGGAGATGGACTTGTGGGTTCTCCAACTTTTTCATGAGCCTAAAGTGGCAATAGATGGAATATGGCCTAACAGAAACAGGAACAGATCAATGCTAAACACAAATTCTCAGCCCCCTTCCTCAATAAAAGTTACAGACTCTGTCCTTTATTGAATCATCTCTTCGTTACTCCTTCCCCCTGACACACACCACCAAACACCACACTGCTACTGAGCCAGAGGACAGTTTTTTTTTTTTTTTTCAGTCTAATCGGGGGTGTATGTTTGCAAATTTTACTTCTACTGAGGATCATTCCAGGACCTCACACATTGCCATCCGGGGATCTACTGCCAAGGTATAATGCCAGCTCCTGTATATGTTTTAGTCACGACAATTAATATTGTTCCTTATACACCCAAGTCACTTCAATGACGATTGGGTTTCTTTCAAAGATTTCAGTTGTGCATTTCACTCAACATTATCTCAAGTTTGTCCCATGACCAGAATTTTTGTGTTGGTTTAATTTCAATATTCTGATAGCATCTAGATTTTAATATTTTTATATCTTGATATAGATGATATATTTAATAACTGAATACCTAATAAGAAGATGGTTGTTTCCTTTTATTCTACCATAATATGAGCCAGATTCCTTGACATATCATGCTTGTTTTGTTTTGTTTGAGATAGCACTTCTCTGTGTAGCTTTGGAGCTCTTCCTGAAACTCATTCTTCCTGAAATCTACTTGCCATAGCTCTAGTACAGAGTAGAAAAGCATGGTAAAGGAAGGCTTGAAGACCATGGTAAACTGTAGGCTGTGAGTCAGTAGGCTACAGTAGATTCTGAGATACTTTATTTCTAACCAGTTTCAGGTAATGTCCATTCTGTAGCCCAGGCTGGTCTTGAACTCACAGAGGCCTGCCTCTGCCTCCCGAGTGCTGGGTTTAAAGGCGTGCACCACCACCGCCCGGCTCTTGGTGTGTTTTCTTCTATCTTGGAACACCTCCATGCATGACATCTCACTCTACTCAAACAGCTTTGAAATTCAAACAGCCATTCTACCAGTGAGGGAGCCATTGCTACTGTCTACCACACTCTGACTTCACAGTCAGTTCTGCTCAGTAATGGAAGCAGCAATAAACAGTAAGACAGTGAACAAGCAATAATAGATGCCCAACTTCCAATTCCAGAACGGAGCCTGTCAAACAGGGCACTCTGCTGTTGAGTGCTCGTCAAGGCTCTGGATGGGTTAGAAAGCACATGTAGAAAATGATCACCTCACCAAAGCTACTGGGGACTTGGGAGAATTTTTGGCTTATAATGCACACGGAAACATTATAAGGTAAGAAGAATTCTTGTGGTACACAAATGCTAAATAATATATTCTGAAAATAAAATCCACTACAGGCAACTTGGAGCTGTACCTCTTGGGCTTCTTCAAGCCTTCCTTTACCATGCTTTTCTACTCTGTACTAGAGCTATGGCAAGTAGACAATTCTACAAGCCCTTTGTGGAGCTCACTCAGGCCCCCAATGTATGTGGAGCAATGTGGTTCCAGACAAACCCTGATTCTTCTCACTCAATACTCATTTTAAATACATTATCCAATCAACTAGACTTTAAAATAATTTTTCACCTCTGGGAACTGTTGAAGTAGATTGAAAAGAGGCATTTTCATTATGAGAAATTAAACCATAATTCTTTCCAAAATGTCTGAGCATATACATTTTGAAATGATTATAGAAATAAAATGCTGAAAATGAATAAAGTTCTTCCTCTCCTAAAAGCCACTTGAAGCTATTGAGCTGGCCCTAAGGAAGGACAGGGAATGATGAACAGTGTAATGAAGGGGAATGAGTGTGTGATACTGAGGCGCAGATATAAAAACGGAATGAAGGCGGCACAGAAAACTAATTGTCCGTTCTGGTCTGTAAAGACAAGAAAACTAACATAAAAACACACAACAAGAAGAAAGACAGTGTCAGTGGACCGTAAAGGGGAGGATAGAAGGTAGAATAAAGGAGAATACTGACATGATGATGTTACTATGGAAAAGTAGGAAACAGTAAGGCATTTTTCAGGCTTGAGGAATGCAGGGCAATGCCTTTGCAGGCTTACATTTATGAGGCAGTGTATGAGTCCTGTGGGACACTTTAAAATGTGAAATAGCCATATATTCTGGAAGAGGGACAACAGCAAAACCTCCATATTGGAGACATTATATTGGAGCAGTTAAAATGTTACATTGTGCTCTCGGAAAATGAGTAACTTCCCAGAGAACATCAACTCCATTGGAAACCCTTTCCCCCTATCAGTGACCTATGTGTCCATATTCATTTCTGTAGGTAAAGTACTCCCAAGTTGTCAAGTAAAAGTGTGATTCTACTAGATAGCATGGATGGCATGGGTGGAGGATGAGATAACATGGGTGGAAGATAAGATAACATGGGTGGAAGATGAGATAGCATGGGTGGAAGACGAGATAGCATGAGCGGCATACGTGGAAGAAGAAATGAAAACAATATTCAGATTCCAAGCCACTTGATTAGCTCTTAAGGAGCAGCATGAATCTCCCAACTCACAACATTCAACTCTTCAAAAATTGAGTTGGGGCCGGGCAGTGGTGGCACACACCCT